TTTTTTTAATTGATTGATGATTGATTCAATCAACTAATTTGTTGATTGTATTAACTTGATTCTTTAGATATTGAAAATTAAATAAATAACATTATGTTAATTTAAGCGTACAGAAACGTTGCTGTTGTTCCAGCAAAAATCTTATTTTCACTTTACCGAGTGCCTAGTAGGTAATTTTCAGATTACCTAGATAATCTGAACATTACCTAAGTAATTTGAGAAATGGAATAATTTTCGCAGCTTTAACGGATCACCCTAGTTAATCTGCAGATTAGCTAGGTAATGCGCACATTAACGGATTTCGAGCTTTAGCGGTAACAGCTATATGAACAGAACCGCAAAATAAACTTAGCAGCGACTTCCACGAAAATTTTATAAATGGCATAAAGATTTTGTGGAACGCGCTGCTATAGCGTTTTTATAAACGCCGTAAATAAAAATCTCTGCTAAGCGCGCTTCGATCTTGAACTCTTCCTTCAGGCAACTTTTTTTTTATTCTATAGACCTTTAATGCCCTGCAACCAATAAGATCTTTCTTCCTTGCCTATCATGAGTTCCTTCGGGTCCACAATGAGACGGCCAAATGACAAGTGACGAAGTCAACATATCGGGCAAACCACCCATGAAAACTTCCTAACCCGTACTCAAACTGGGTGCCAAGAGTGGCAGGGTCTACTACCTCAACCATTCGGTTGTCGAATGCCAGTTAATAAGGCCGGGTGGCCGAGTGGTGAAGGTGACAGCTTACCGTTTTGGGGGACCTGGGTTCGAATCCGAACGGGTCGATAAATCCTCAGGAAATTTTCGGAGGAGTGGTTCGTTTGGATATGTCGGGCCCCGTCTCTCACCACTCGGCCGCCCCATTGTAAGTCTGGCCGAACCTGGCTAAAAGAATAGTGCCCACAGGGCGAAAAGAGTTTTAAAAAAATGCCACTTATTAAAAACTTTGTAAAGGTAAATGTTTGTAGGTACGATGGTTCAGGATATATACTTTCTCATAAACCGTCGCATTAATTTTTAGTAATTGTACTTCTGTAAGTAACTTTATACTATAAAAATTCCAAAGTACTATCGCAAAAATTAATTTAAATAAGAACTGGAGTTAATATTACATAACATCGAAGAAGCGCATGATGATAGCGACTCGCAAGTCAGTCAGGCAACTCGCTAAACTCTTTGTTATACTTCGTGAGTAAACTTTTTGTTTGATCATTTGGTGTACTGAACAATTTTTTATCCTCGAGCTTATTTAATATCTGGTATTTAGATCCGATTATAAATGATGAATGAAAGAAAATATACAGTTAATACAGTTACTAAGAAATAAAACATTTATATCAAGTGAGCCATTAATAATAAACAACGCTTTTTGCCCACGACTATAAATTAGACAGAATTAGATAATATAAATAGGGTATAACAATTTGCAGGGCTTATCACACCAAGGCCGACTGAAAGAAGGACCAGAACTTTTGTAAAAAAAGGTTGGTCTTTAATAATCACATATCAAATTTAGGTAAGTATGCATTTCAGGTACAAGGACCCCTCATCAGCTTACAAACACATGGAAACAACGTAACAAATACAATACCAATAACCTGTCAATACAACGGGATAACCAACAGTGCACTGCATTTACTTTGTAAAATGCAGATGGACAGTGCAGTTGACTTCACAAAGGCTTATAGATCAGATGTATTTTGTTTGTGTTAAAATCTGGAAACCAATTGGTTTTAATAAGATGTAACCGTCTACCAGAATTTGGAAAATGTCGGAGAAACTAAAACATTTACTGGTCCCAGATAATATGTAATACCACATTGTCATTGTATTATAATTTATACTTGATATTTTAGTTTTAGTGTATGGGTTACATTGAGAAATTGTAAATGCAGTGCACTGCATATGTTGGTTATCCCGTTGCATTGGCAGGTTATTGATATTGTATTTGTTACGTTGTTACCATGTGTTTGTAAGCTGATGAGGGGTCCTTGTACCCGAAATGCATACTTACCTAAATTTGATACGTGATTATTAAAGACCAACCTTTTTTATAAAAGTTCTGGTCCTTCTTTCAGTTGGCCTTGGTGTGATAAGCCCTGCAAATTGTTATACCCTATTTAGGTTATCTAATTCTGTCTAAAGTGAGTCATTGCCTACTTTAAATGGCCATATTACTGAAATACAGCGCTCTTACTATTAGTTTAATTCACAAGTATTTTGTTGCGAAATTAATGAAATAGTCTACATTATCATTTAAAATTGATAATATATTTTCCAGATGATACTCAGGTGGAACAAAATTTCAAAGCAGTTGTACATAATAAAAACTATGAAGTAAACGATCCTGTTCTAAGATTTGCAAATATAATTAAAGAATGGGCATTTGAAATAAAGGATCTGCCTGGCAGTATTGTTCAAAATTTTCAACCTGATAATAGCCCAGAAAACGATTGGGTTAATGTATGTTTTGAGTTAAGTTTTCCGTTACACTTTCTTTTGTGACGATCAAATTTTTGATATTTTTCTTTTTGTTTTCAGCTATTTCGAGCTACGACGTACAAAGTGGGATGCGCTATTGTAACTTTTCAACTGAATAACGAAAAATTTAAAGAAATATATGCATGCAATTATGCACCTGCGTAAGTACAGTGTACAGTGTGGACATATATTATAGTAAAGAAGTTTTAAGCTTTCAATATACTGTATAGTCTACTTATATTAATAGTTAAATTAATATTTTTTCCTTAAAGAGAAAGCTCCACTGTAAGATGAATTGATTACTTTAATGATTTATTACTTGAAATTCATTTAAGCTTCTATTATGCTTTAATGCATTAGGATAATGTTATGATTAAAAAGTGGAAATGGAATTTTACTAAATGTTATCTAAAACTTCCCGTACAAAAACAAATTCTTGAAAATTAATGCGAACATTGAAAATGATAAAACAGTTACTGTATATAGCTACTGTATAATACGAAGTCTTATTTGAAATATATTGGTACTATGCGATACATCGATTGCTATCAGTTTCAAGATGGGTTATCTGTATTGTATGTTACTAATCAAGCCACTGTATACCGGATGGTCGAAGATGTCTACCATTCTGGGGAGACCTGGGATCAAATCCGGAAGAGATTCTGGGCTGGCCACGTGTAGTTTACCGGATTTTCTTTGTGTGTCTAATAACTAACTGCAGCCAGTTTTCAATAGAAAGTCTTCTCGAGAAACACTGCTCTGAGAAATTTATTTCTTCAAATCATTTTCATTTTATATATTATTCTTAAATTATTAATAGATTTGAAATTTAATTAATAACTTTCTTAGCATTAGTAATAAATTGTAGTTTCATGCTGTTTTAAAATAGGAAATTGAAAAACGGAGAAGAAATATATAAAAAGGGAGAAACTAAGTGGTGCACTGAGTGTCCAGCTGAAATGAAATGTCATCGAAGATGGTTTCGTTTGTGCGGTAAGTAGTAGATGATATAATTGTGACTGATACTTCTAAATTTATGTTTATGTATGTATGCACACGCACACGCATGCACACAAACATTAATTTATCTTGTCACTCATATACAGTAGTCATAAGTGCCTACAATAGCTCATATGTGTATAGGGCACTCCTGTAGTAGCGGATACGCAGAGCGACCGCTATTAACGAACGCGGCCTATAGGCTATTCATTGTTTTTAAAAATAATTTTGTTATTATGAGAGTCTCCTGTAACAGGCAGGACTATCGATAACTTGTATGAGTCCGGGGTAGAGCAGGCTCCTTTTGTCTGTTAGCAGGCCCATTCATCTTTTTTGGTTTTGAATAAATGAAACACGGAGACTTTCTTTATTTTAATAAAAAGCAGTCTTAAAGATTTTATTTACGTTAGTGAAAATAACGTTAATTTTATCGGGGTAAGAATGACTAGAAGACACCTAAGTTTTCTCCGAACACTGGAAAAATCTCTAGCTCTCCCTCTCTCTCGGCGTTCTGATAACAGGGTAAAATACTTTTATTTATTATATTAAAAATAGGAAATGTCCAAGAGCAAATGATCTATACCCCAAACCAACATAATATCCCAAGCGCAGATAACAATGAATAAAACTTTAAAACAAAATTTAAGAATTATAAAGCATACTTTTACAAAACATTTTATTTCGCGAATAATCACTGTAAAGCGTAATGTTCTATATTAATCAAACTATGAACTACAGTAGACCCCCTATAACGCTTAGATGCGTTCCACGTTATTCGAATTTTACGTTGTAGGAATCATAAAATACATGAGCCAATCGCAGCCCGACACGTGTGAAGTTTACGGACTAAGGCTGTTTGAAAGGTTTTCTTCTATAAAATTAACTGATTCTAGACTCAACATTTCCAAAACACGTATAATTTTTTGGGAATAATCCGTATAAACTATGCTATAAACAAAAAANTTTTCAGCGGCCGAATGGCCGAGCGGTCAAGGTGGCAGCCCACCGCTCTGGGGGACCCGGGCTCGAATCCGAATGGGTCGAAAAAATCCCCAGGAATTTTTCGGGGGTGGTCCGTTCAGATATGTCCCCGTCCCTCACCACCCGGCAGCCCCATTGTGGGCCTGGCCTAACTCATAATGGGCTTGCAAAAAGAGGCCCTCTTAGTGCCCACAAGGCGGAAAGAGTTAAAAAAAAAAAAAAAGAAAAGTCAGTGGAATCATGTTCGACATTTCCAAACACCATTGTCAAACTTCTAGGCTAACAGGAAAGCAGCGCTAAACGTCCGAAGTACACGTTTTCGCGTTTGAAACTTCGGCCTCAACCTCGCTACCGTGATTTTTAAATAGATTAATCTTCGTATTTGTAAAGTTAATAAAAACATTTACAGGTAAGTGTTATTGAACATTTTTAACCTTAGTTTTTACTTCGGTTTAAAATGTTTTACCGAATTGTTCGTGTTGGGAACTGTTCGAAAATATCGAAATACTGCTGTATTTCGTTCATAATTTTTACGAATGATTACTTCATTGATTTAGTAAGAAAAAATTAAATTCACTGTAATCCAAGAGAGTAAATTTAATAAATTCAACGCATCAAATTTAAATTTCTGAGTATAAAATAATTTTATTTTCAGTAATAAATTTGAAATTATAAGCAAGTAATCATTCGTAAAAATTATGAACGAAATACAGCAGTATCTCGATATTCGAATAGTTTCCAACACGAACAATTCGATATTCGAACGCAAATTCTGGAAAAAGAAACTGCTCTCTACTCCACTGAACAAACGTGGCCCTCTAGAACAAATTTTCAATTAATAACATAATTTTATTTTTATTTTGTCATCCATTTATGATAAAAAAAATGAAGATGTTGCTGATCAACAAAAAAGCTGAAAAGATGACGATACTTTGTAAAAAAAAACGCCCTGGTTTAACTAAAATTAATATTAATGCGTCATACAGTACTTTTAATTGTAATTGTTAATTAATTATTGTTTGGAAATAAATTATCGATTGCTTTAATAAAACACATTTCTCTTAATAACGAAAAAGAATAGTATGCTTTTATTAACGTTTGGAGCCTAACCCCATGTCTTACATTAGTCCTTTGTTTCGTATAGAACGGATTCTCATAACACGGCACTTTATCGGAACGCAACTACCGTGTTATACGAGGGAGACCTGTACATTATTTAGACGATAAATTTTTGTACCTTGATTAATGAATGATAATAATTCTTCTACATGTTTCAATCTACTTCTTATAGTAATTTTCGATAGCTAGGCTTATTTTGTGCGGGAATTTTCTGGAATGCTTATGTAGGATTACTATATCTGTTTAAATAGTAGGCTCGGTTATTTGTAGAAACGAACTATCAGGTATCTGCGAGAGTTGAGTGTGTGTACCTACGTATAAATATAGTATATAGGCTAACATATATTTGTTTCAGCATTTTAATGCACTTTCAAAAAGAGTTAGTGTTTTATTTTTCTGTTATAAAAGGAAAATAATTACTTGTCTTAAAGACACTATCCTATTAAATAAATAAGTAAAGTTATTGGTTTAATTTATATTACTGTATTATTAAAACAATTTGTTTAAATATAAAAATTGATGTGCATTAAAAGGAAATTGTTTATTGTGAAATTGATTAATATGCAGAAAAAATTCTTGACTTTTTACATAACTTTGTGTAGTTCTAATAAAGATCCTATACAAGTCTTTTATTTGTTTTTACTTATTTATTTTAAATTTTGCATTATGTAGATACAATTAATATGTTATGAATAGATTCAGTATTTAGTGAAAAGTGTTTTATAATAAACTAGTTATATATTATTATGTCATCGCCACAATGCNATCAAAAACGTAAAATATTTGAGTAGCCCAAGACATAGCCAAAGATTGCAGCGCCACAGCACTGGCGAAAATTTAAATTTGCCGACTGGAATTCTTTCGGATAATCGACGCGCTACTGTATTTGATCCTATCGGACACCTCTCTCGTTCACTGCCACGAAGCTCACCAAGCTCGTTGCTATCAGAAGCTCATTTCGTCCATCTTCACTTGAGATTCGGACTTTATACTATGAGGTGACGTCACAATTCTGAATGCGATCACTCCCCTCATTTACATACTTATTTGCTGACAATAAACTTTTTCTATTTGTCTGGCAGCCTATTTTCCGACAATACTCGCTAACCTTTTACATTATTCTTTTTGACAATTTTCGGGATGTTTTTATTCTTTAAGGTTTAGCGAGTCCCTAAGTTGTGCTTGTGGGGTCTTTCCATCCCTTTCTCGGTGCGGACTTACTTTTTTCCGCTCGGGAGCGCAATTGTGCGCGAGTTTTAACTATGGCGCTTTTCTCTCATTGGTGAGTTAGTTTCTCTTCTATTTTTAAGTTTCTAAGGTGAATAGTGAGGAAACCTTCGTTTTAACAAAACATAAGCCCCAAACAAAAATAGAATAATAAGCAAAAATAAAAGTAAATAAAAATAATGCTCGGACTTGGTTCCTTACAAGACTAATACTAGTAAAATTTTCGGTTAATGTGTACCTAGGTAATCCAAGATGGCGCCGCTTCGGTTAGATTAACTATATTTTTAGTAGACGTTTCCTTTTTTTTATTTTTATTTTGTTCAAGAACTACCGTGAATCAATAAGTAGTGACGTTTAGCACAAGGCGGCCTGCCGGCAGCTCCCCTCCGGGAGGAATCCGTCAGGCCCACGAACAGTCCCAAGTGCTGTCATTGGGTTAATGTGTACCTAGGTAACCTAGGTACACATTAACCATTAAATTTACAATTATTTAATTAATTAATATATAATTGTTAAATATAATTATGGAATGATAAAGTGGTTTTGATTACATATTTAAATGTAATGAACTTTGCATGAATTCAATTTCAGTTTTTTATATGGCATAGTTATATACCAAACTGTAGTAAATTTTTTCTCTCAATCATTTTTAAAATTTCAAAGAAAATCAATAATTGTTTATAATTTAGACATAAGTTATTAATATTATTCAAATTTTTTCATTAATAGAGTAGGAGACTGTTTATTGTTTATTTGCAATTTCAACCAAATCAACAGCATTTAGTTGCCATAATTCTAATTAGCACAAACAGGACAAATGAATAATTTGTTTTAAAACTTTAAAATGACTAAAAAGGGTCAAAAGTTATTGTCATGTGTCACAAAGTAACATGACTAGATAGCAAAATTAAACATTAACCTTGCTTTATTTCCCAATCAAAAAGAGATAAATAGTGCTTAACCCTGACAAGTCCTAAGGAGCCGAGGCCAAAAAGATTGAGAATAGCTAGTCTAGAGTAAGCAACATTTATTATTTCTGGAGGTTCAGTGTAAAACTTAGTACATTCCTCTGCTACAGTGGTTTTTGCTGATAAACAACATCATATAAAGTTTTAATCAAAATTTTCATTGCTTTTTGTCCTTCAGCACAGAGAAATCGTATCACCACACTTTGAGTGATTTGATGTTGCCAATGTCTACAGGTCATAATCCTTCTGCACTAATTCACAAATATGGTTATCAACTAAAATATTAGTTTGTGTTTTTTAAATTTTACCTCAAAATTACTGTCTGTTTGTCTGCTCCTACAGTGTCAGTGAAGTCACTTGATCATCACAGATACCTTTTGATCATGCGTTACATTAGGACATCCTGAAAGTTTCTGTAGTTTTCATAGTGTAAGCAGGGATAAGATAAAACCCCAAAATCTTTCTGATATAGATCAAATAATTTTTTTAAGATATTTCAGTAAAAAAAAATATACTATACAAAAATTTGAGAATTTACTACATACAAAAAATGCATAATGCAAGAGATTGGAAAATCCCACAGGATATGATTTGTGGGATGTTTTCAGTTTCTGCAATAAGTAATATTGACTCCAACAATGTGTACAGTATAATGAAAGAAATAACTTTTAAGTAGACTTATAAGTTCTGCTAATTTTCTATTAAAGATAAATCTCTCTTCTTTATAGATTATTAGTATATCATTAAAGATTTATTAGTACAGAATGATGTCTTTTTATATCAATTTATATATAAAAATTGTCTGGTGTTTCTGTCCCATATAATATATAGTTAAATACATAAAATATTTGTTTGAAATTATGTCTGTGAATGTGTTAATCTAAGTTGCTATTATCTTAAAATAATTTATCAAATTTATTTTAATAGGACAGGAAGTGACTTTTCATCTGCAGCAGACATAGCAACTCTAGGAACATTATCTCCAGATAGAAGAAAACTATCACATGTTAGTTTCATTACAAATTAAATATCTAATTATATTTTAGAATTATTAAAATTAAATTATTTGTTTATAATAAATATTGTTTTAGATTAATATAGATATATTCAGTTTATCAAAATAAATAAATAGGTAGTGCTCAGTTTATCAGACACTCAAAACTTCTTTCCTCACCGGTACAGGACAATGTATTAATGTAAACACATACACCACAACCTCAGATAAGTCCAGCAACCCAATTTAAAGGTTCACAATGTTTTTGGTGTACCCCTAAGACCTTCACTGGGTAGAAGTTGTTCCAAATTGAGATGTTTGAAGAAGGCAGAAATCAAACGTAAAAATGAAAACAAAGCATAAATGCATGCTGTTTGTTTGGATAACCATTTAATAGCAAAGAATCAGATTATTTGCCAGGCCTGTCTTTGTTGTTAATACAATTACCCTTACTGTTAAGACTTAGAAATCTCTGGGGCTTCCAGATCTCCAATCTTTCCCCCTGTAAGGTCATTATTAATAAAGGCACTTGGTGTAGTAATGCTTCTGGCTTGTTGGCCATGATGTATGTGAATAGGGCAGTGGAATTCTTCCCATTATCAATGTCATATTTGTGTTTGCTCATCCTCTTCATTAGGGAGTGCTTGGTGAAACCTATGTAGACCAGTTCCCTATCAAATCTGTCATTGCATAGGGAATGTTGTATACTTCAGAGGCTCTCTGGGCATTGACAGGGTCTTTCCATTTCTAATGATTGGGAAAATAGTAGGCATTGTTTTGTAAGTGATGCGGATACCTATTTGTTTGAATATATCAGTTATTTACAATCATACTGTACCACTAAGGTATATATTCTTCATTTAACCTTTGCTGGTTACTTCTGGTTTATCATTATTGTTGTCTTTGGGAAACCCATGTGCTTGTGCAGACCATAGCCAGACTTTTACCCTATCTACTTACCAGTGTTATGGTTGTCCAGTGGACTCATGACCTCTGTCACTACAAACTTGCCTTCAGAACACTCATTAGGAGGGCATACATGTATTGCACTGGTGCAAAGGATGCTGAGGTAGAATTGGCTTGCATCAAGATTATTGCATGGGTAAAGGCTTAATTAAGAGGTTAGCTAGAATTTTAATACATCCATCAATATTTTGGACAATGTTGATGGTAACACCAGAAATGACAAGCAAAGGTTAAATGAAGAATTTGGCTTCGTGGCTGATTTTGGGGGTTATATCTTGGGAAGGATCGCATATAGACCATCCATTTTTTTTTGACTTTTTTACTTCTATGGCCATACTTACAGCTCTAATAAGGTTTCAACTATCTCATTTAGAGCTACAATTTTACCATGCTTTGCACATCTGTTGAATGTTTTTAGTATATGTCACAGGTGATACAAATCCATGGCTGCAAGTGTATTTTATAAATTGACTAGCTTACCCGTCACACATTGCTGTGATCTCAGAAGAAAGGAAATTCAAGCAAACTCGTTATGATAAAATTAAATTTTCATTTTATCATTTTTATTGAAACTTTATTATTATTATTATTATACATTTTCATCAGGAAAACATTTCAAAGTGTCATTTCAATTCTATTTAATGGAGTGCTTGTGGATACACAATATTTTTTGTTTTTCCGTCTGATGCGTACATGAATGAATCAGAAGGTTTTCCAACGTGTGAACAGGCCACATACAGTTGTACTGTACATGTGAGAAGCACAGATTCTATAAATTTAGCTCACATACTCACAGAGATTGTTAGAAGTGCGATATTCCTCATTTTTATGTATATTTTTAAATCCTTTGTAATTTTGATTATTTAATTGCTCCTTCTTCTCTTCCTTGGCATGTTGTAAAATTTCTGATAGTTGGATAATAAACCGTTTTATTGTAATTTGTATTTTTAAATTATTTTGAGTCGATATTAAAATTTGGAAAAGGGAGGGATACCTAGATCGGTAAAATACGCGAATTTCTTCCTACAACTTCGGTTGTTGTTCGGGGTATTGTCAAGGTTTTAACGAAGCTCGAGCGAATACATAATTAGCAAAAAAAAGTTGAAATAAAGTGATTAAACAAAAATTATTATAAATATCGTAAATAACAGTTCACAAATGCATATATAGAGATATTTTTTGAAGGGGGAAATGGTCTTCACAATTTGAAATTGATCGAACACACTGTGCGCAAATGCTCGTGTAAACGCGCGCCATCTATCGTAGGATAAATGTACTTCGCGGGAGTGTATTAAAAAATTAAAAAAACTTTCCAAAGTTTCATGGCAATCGTACTATGCCACAAACCTTCGCCGGAGTATATTAAACAACTTCCCAAAGTTTCACGGCAATCGGATAAACGGTGTGGTAATGCATGAAGGACA